GATGAATGTTTGTTATCTCACGATCACTCCCACCCCGATAGAACTATCATGATGCACTAGACCACTTTGCATTTGCACGTGCATTTTTAGTTGTTTCGATGACGAATCTGCCTCATTAGCTGAGTGGCCCTTTGTTGGTCATACCTTGGTAGCAAATATTGCCTATGAGGATGCCTCGGTGGGGCAATACTTGTTATTGCACTGTAACTAGCATATGTATGTTGTGCTAAGGCTCCAAGGGGTCTAATAGATGCCACTAGATTTTTTCCTTCTATTAGAAAGTATTTTAAAAGTATAAAAATTTACATATTTTTATTACTTCATGCATCATCAAAATTACTTACATCTATAGCTTAGGGCCATATGTAAGGCGAACCTTTTAAAAGTTAAGTTTTTCAAAACTTGCATCTGGTGACACCTCTTAAAATCTTTGGATCCTTAGGATGGGGTCGAAAACGACGACCTCGTCAAAATATACACTAGCCTTCTGACTTAGCCCTGCACTCACTTATATGATGTGATATGACACTTTATGTTAGATGGTGTGCTAGGCTAAGAATTAGAATGCTAGGTAGTCCTTTTTGAAGTCCTTGCTGTAGTTCTCAGCTGGTTTGGGCAAGTGATGCTAAGCTTCTCCTGTCAGGCATGACTCATATGTGTTGGATGTAGATAGTTTTTCATGCTAACCTTATTTTCATGCATGTTGAGTCCTTTTTTTTAACTTTCCTACATGTACTTTTTAGAGTCCTTAGGAGAGCCTTATATCAGAAATAATGTGTGGGAATGAGTTTCGAGGCACTGGGTGGGCGAAACCACATGATAGGGACTAGGAGCTTCTTTCTCGTGCTCTGTACCTTACATTTAAATCTCATTTTAGTATAAAATTAGGACAAGTGTGCTCTTATGTGGTGCCTAACTACCTTTTTCTATTTTTGGAATATGTTGCCGACCCAACGACACTCGACCATTCTTTTTCTTTTGACTTAACTTGTTGACTTTTTTGCACTCTTACATGTCAATGCTAGTTTCACTCTTTTTTTAATTTGTGGATTGCTTGGGAATCGAGTTGATCACTTACGCTTTTTAGGACCTAAAAAATTCTAAATTTTCTATGAAATCCTAATAAAATTTTAAGTCTGATTAAAATTTAGAATAAAGAGATTTAGGATCTTCAAAATTTATCTTTACTTTCCTGCATGACCTTCAAGATGGATTTTAAATAGATTGCTTATCATGACCTTCACTCATATAATAATTAATAGGGCCTCCATGCTTAGGAATCATTAAACAAATGTACATATTGCATTTCCCAAGGAAAAGCCCTCCTGCTCCTCCAACCTAATTGGCCAAGCAAAGGCTTCTACTTAGGTGGTTTTCTAGTGCGCTTAAGGTGTTAGTGGCTTCTCTGACCCTAACAGGGAGTAAGTTTTTTATGGGAGCATATTTAGCTTTGTAGCTGAACATTTCTTCTCTTTTCACTCCAGTGGCATTCTCGCCACTTTGGCAGGTTTATGCCCCACTTTACTTTTTTCTACCAACATAAGGTCATAGGATTAGAGTTTCCTTCTCTTGACCTTAGGGCTCTAAAGTTTTCTTGGATGACGCAATTCACATAATGCAGACAAAGGGATTCTCCGGTTGTGCTGGGTCGACTATCTTCATGACCAGGTAAACATTGGGGTCTTAATAGCTTAGGATGACGAATCCGTGGTGTACTGAACCAACTATATCTAGCCAATTAGAATCACTCTACCGTTCCTTTGTTAACGCCTTTGAGACTTATCGCTCTTTTTGACACTTCGTTGATTTTGTTTCGTAGTCCTCGATTGCGGATAGGTCGTCGCCCATTTGGGATGCGGTGATTCACCCTCTACTCCTATAACTCAGTCATATATTGATTTTTATTTTCAAAAATAAATTAATTTATTTTTAAAAACACTCCAAACAACTAAAATTTATTTTGAGTATTTTTAAAAATAACTAAATCTGTTATAACCTAGCTATCAAATTTATTTTGTTTCGTATCAAGAACATAAAAAAATAAAATATAAAATAAAAGTAATCCAAGCGGCTGCTAAATTTCACATAACAATTATCTATTTAATCGAACTTTTTTTTCTACATTATTTCATCTACTGATTAGAAGGTTTCTATCATCAAAAAGATCTTAAAATTTGAGATAAACCACATGAATTAAAGAAGACCAGAGAATAAAGTATAATTTGATAGCGTTTTTCTGATGTTTTGTGTAAGAAAATTACATATCATAATCATATTTCACATAGAAAGTGCATAATTGCAGATAGGGTTGTCAAAACGGCTTGTTGTTTGCGGGTAGCTTGTGTCGGCTCGTGAAGAAGCTCGTGTTCGGCTCGTTAGCTAAGTTAACGAGCCGAATACGAACTAATATTTGTTCGTTCGTGTTCGAGACATTTTAGTTTGAAATACTACTAATCAATTATATATATATATATATTTGATGAGTAGTCTTTTTTTTAAATTCAGTTGACTGCAAGGCTACAAAGATTTATAATCAATTAGAAGTATTAATGAAAAAATATAATAAAAATTATTAAATTATATTCAAATGATGTTTCAAATCTTACCACAATCTTTAACATCTGAGGGCTACGTGATTAGGGTTGTCAAAATGAATCTTTGTTTGTGAACGGGTCGTGTTCGACTCGCTAAACAAACGATCCGAACACGGACACACTTTTTGAGCTCGAAATATAAACGAGCCGAACACGAGCTGAGCCTGGGCTCGTTCGTCTCGCTCGTGTTCGCCTCGTTTACACCCCTAATTGCAGTGATATGAACAGCTTGCTTATCTTCCTTCAGCAGTTAATGCTGATTCTGTTTTATTGTTCATATCAAGCAGTACAAAGCAATAGTTTTAAATATTGCTAAATATAATAAAACAGTGAAAAGATTGATAGCCCCCTAATTAAAGACAAAATTAATTTTCAAAAGTCATGAATAGTCGCTACATTTTTTTTTATTATTGTCTAATTGATCCCCCACCACTTATAAAAAAATGATCAAATCATATGAGCTAATAAAATATAGCTTATGGAGAATCTTAAGGATAGCTGTACCAGAAACTTTGCTGACTGCCATTAAAAAAATAATTAAAAAAAACCCTCACTAAATAAATACCAAAAAGAACAGCTTTATCCCATATGAAATAACATAGCTTTTGATGATGCCTGATAATGCCTGGTAAGTAGTAACAAAGGTTTGCATCATGTGAAAAATTATTACGTATGTTCTCCCGTATGTTCATTGACGGCTTAGATGTGCCAAAAAAAAAAAAATAAGAAAAAAAAAAAACTACGACCCCCTATATTCGTGTCGTTGGGCGCACATAAACCGCGCGTACATAATATTTGCTCGTATCATGTGGCTGATTTTTTAACATCTTTTTTTTAGTCCCAAGCATAATCTCGCTCTCTCTCTCTCTCAATCACAACTCGATTCTCACATATGGTCTCATTCCTCATTGAAGTTTTGTTAAAACGTTGTCCAAATGAAGTTCAAATCATTCCCATCTGATAGAAAATTTTGAGCATATTTCTCCTGTTTGCTATTATGAGGCAAATCAAGTGCAATGTTGACATAATTGAGATACAAAAATAATATACTAAAATACACTTTTTCATGTATACATATTTTAACATGAATGAGACACTAAAGCATCATACAAAAAAATTAAAATACAAATATTTTATGTCAAAGTAACAAAAAAGTTTATGTTACTTGAGTAAATCACTTATATATAATGTTTGCCACATAAATGCTAAATATCAATGACATCATAAATACTTTGATGTTTCACTTGGAGGGCTGAAAAATTGGAATTCAAATAATTTCCTCTCTAAATTGATTGATCTTGATTCCGTTCATTTAATATTTAAATATTTTAATGATATCATAATTGATTGAACTTGATCTCAATCTCGTTGGATTCCTCTCTTCAAAACTCGATCTGATTGTAAGCATGCTAAATTTAAAGAGCATTTGATTCTTCAAAAAATGTTTCATTAGAGCTTAGATCTAGTTATTTTTATTATTGTTAGGTTCGTATCATTACAATATTCAATTTGTCTATAAAGTTGCTAAAATCAACGCCTAAATGATCTCGACTTTAACTATAAAAAATTTATCCATGCAACTTACATCGAGATTCATGTGTTATCATTTGTACTTTAGATTGAATCAAACCTTCCAACACAATATCTAGAGCTCAAGTTTCATTTCCAAGCAAAGAATATCGATCGAGCTACTCATATACATCATATCTTGTAAATATGGATCCAAATCCAAAACAGCTTTAGGCTTCAATTGAAGACACCTTTAATTTATGAATGACATTCAAAATGCCTTCAAAAGTGAAGGGGCCCAACCATAACTATACGAGAAACATGTGAAAAGTCAACCAATCCTCCTAGAAATAAAAATAACTAATTATATTAATCTTGCCATTTAATAAAATTTTCATTTTCATTATTGTCCTATTTATCACTTTAATTTGTTTTGCATCAATATTTAGCTAGATTAATAAACAAGTTAAACATAGAATTTTAAAAAAAGCTTATTAGCCAAAATCAAACATCAGTAAAGTTCATTTACACCCCTAACTGAAATTTTTGTATAATATAATTTTATAATATTAATATGATTCAATAATAATTAATACGTTCTAAACCAGCTGAGCACAATATACAACCTAAAGTAAAGAACTTTATTGTCCTACAGTTATTGTACAGCCAATCCCACTCACATGGAGGTTGAAGAAGGTCAACAGTGATGGCCAAAAGAAAAGCTGCATGTGAACTCCAATCACCTTTTTTGGCACCACTGGCAATTTCATTTATGATATTTATACATTCCCCCCCGAAAAGTAAAATTTGAAGTCAAAGTTTAAAATAAGTTCAAACATTTTATTTACAATTTTAACCTCTGCAAAAGCACACTCCCTTCAAAGGTGATATTCCATATTCATGCACATGTGCTTGCCAGCTCATTTTCATACACAACACTAATTAAGTGAAACAAATATTTATAATTCATTCAAGGAGTGGAGCTTCGTTCTAACTAAACAAAGCAAGATAACTCCTGTGCTAACTGTACAGGCTTGGCTTCTAAATAATTGCAGAATGAGAATAGACATTCTTCAAATTTACAAACTTTACCGGATTTTGCTACTTCAACTTTTTATGCTTTGTACATATCTGTGATGAAACTGGAGTTGAAAAAAGTTAAGTCTGAGCACAGGATAATGTTTGAGTTTGTGGTCACTAATTGAGCATTTTGAAGAGCCAATCCATGGAAAGAAGGTATAGAAAATCCTTTACGGAGGTGAATATTAATGTAGGGCATAACAACAGTGTTCAGAAAAACCCTCATCACACCCTGTAAAAGAAGTTAAAAAAAAAAATGAGATGTATGAGAAATAGGTGACTAGTAAGCTTCTCATCCACTCTTTGAAGACTGAAATGTTGATAAATATTCAAAATGGTAATGGAAGATTTACATACATACCACTCAATTCTTATGCACTTGCATATCTAACACTAAAACTTCAATTTTTAAATACACGCGACGTTATTTACGCATAAAAAGGTGTATTTCACTATTTAAAAGTTAAAATAGTGGAATGTTTTATGTGATATGAAAGATTTGGATAATATGAATGTAAAAAGTAAAGTTTCAACGTTAGATATGTAATACATATAATTGGATGGTATGTATGTAAATGCCTCAAATGGTAATATAGAAGGAAAAGTTACCCAGCATCAAATTATCCAAAATAATCATCACATAAATTAATCATCTTATACATTTAAGATTGAAATGCTTATAAAATAACTTGACTGATAATTGATAGCTGTCATCTTAATGTTACTATTTCACTATCATCAACAATTCATCAGTCGCAAACCGAATTTAAACTCATGGCATCAATGATTCTCACATCAAGAATTGTTTGTACCCTAATTAAATTAACTGTGTTAGTGGTTTCATAATATCCAGAATATAGAATATACTGGATATAGTTTGGATGAGTTGCATTAATAGGTTCATAATAGGGAGAACATAAATTTCACAAATAACATAAATGATGTAAGTTTTGTGAGATATGAAAAAGAGAAGTACAGAGATCTCACCTGAACCAGAAACATTCGAAAATTACCAATTTCACTCCATTTCAATGATAGAGAGAAGTCATTTAGATGAGCTCTACTAACTAGTTTATTCCCCGATATGTCAGCATCACCTGATATGGTTAAATCCTGTAAAAAAACACCAAAAATTTCTAATAACATGTTAAAGGATGCAATGATCTAAAGGAACAGCAAATCAATGTTCATGCAAGGTGGGCAGTGGAAGAACTCATCATCTTAGCACAACAAACTAGAATGATTAGCTATTTAAAATTAATGCATAAATATTAAAATATATATTAATTATAATTAAAGTTTAATTATGATCATTAAATTTTTTTATAGTATTTAATTATGATAACTTGGCGTTGAATGATTAAATTATCAATAATTAAAATCATGACTACTTATAATGCTTTATTAAAAGTGGATCGTAATTTTAATCAAGATCATTATGACATCAAACATTAATTAGGCATAACTATATATAGTTTTGAAAGTTAGTGAAGTCATCTAATAATTCCTATTTGTTTTTTGCAGAAAGTTCACTAGGAAGCCTTGTTCTTCTTAATGTGTAATAAGATCTAAGCATACCGCTTATAGAAAGTTATTATAACGTTTTTTAAATATAAACATGTACGAGTATATGATGAATGTAATGTCAGTAGAGCATTTTGTAATATCATTTGCTAGTCGGGTTGACAGGCCCACATAGTGCATTGGGGTCTTGGAGATATTGGACTCCATTAGGCGTTTAAAACTCTATTTTTTGTTAGGATATCTTGGCAGAACAATTATGTAAATATATAAATATAAAAGCTATTATGATGAATAGCTGAAACACCATACATATCAATATGGCTAATGCAATTGTACATAAAAATGTCACCATATAAATTCATTGAATACAATTTATCATATGAATGATCATGGACATCGATGTACAGTCAATCATTATTAAGCAGTTGATATTTTTAATCATTCATGACATGCAATAACATTTTAGCCAGACACTACAATGAAATTTGGTATATTGATATTATATTATAAATTGTGTCATTATTATTGATCATATCGCATGTCATGTACTTTGATGTTTATGCTTTAATAATTGAACTTATATATTGAGTTTCTATTAAGAACTCATTTGGCTTTTCTCTTAACAAATCCAATAGAGTTAAATGGTTGATCCTCACTACAAGAGCAGATCATTCAACAATATTGTTTCAATTTGCATAAATTGTAATTCTTTGCTTAGATTTATATTTAATCTTTGTATCAATTACAAATATATTTAATTTCTTACCTTTCCATTCCATTAGTTGATGTTTTTTTTGTTTTCCTAACAGAAATTCTATTAAAATATTTTTTTAATTAAAAAAACTTCATTTCTTAAATTTATAATTATACACTTTTATTTACACATAATATGAATCTTTCCTCTTAAATACCAAATTTCTTTATTTGTTCTAGACTCTTAAGGCCTATCGCACGAGTTGAAAATAAATTCCTACATTATATTCTGTTGTTGGACTGTATAGCCTTTTGGACCCAATGTTTGACAAGACCTCCTTTTTCTTTTTGCTCATCCAAGGATTAGTGCTATAGATATATGAACCCCATATGTCTTAAATGAGATTTGCATATACTTTTCATAGCCATAAAAAATCAACTCAAAAAGCTCCAAAACAGAAGTGATGATTGCATTTGCAAACACAACAAAGTCTCAGTATTCCACAAGTCATCCAATCTTTAATAAAAAAAAGTTAAGCTAAGCATGATATGATAACTGGCAAGTTTCTCTAATAAGGATCACAAAGTTGGGGTGTTCTGTGAATGATTAAACTAATGGATAAAAACGAACAAGCAGCTATGTTAGATCCAACAGAGCTGAAACAAGAAAAAGTTCTATAAAACTTTCCAACTAAGTGAATAATGGGCACCACAAACAACCAAACGGCCGCATCTATTGCTTTTTCCCCAACAACTCCGAGCTCAGGCTGGCTTTTACTCACAAGCAAGGTGATGCGGGGCTCAGAGGTTCTGATTGTCGCAAGCATGACCGGTCAAGCCTTCCTGCTGGACCGGACCGGCTAGAACCAATCTTCCGCCCCTCTCCATCTCATGCTCTAATTTCTCTCTTTCTTAATCCTTCCATTCCTACTTGGGCTGCATTTCAAATTCCTGCCTTTTCATGTCCACTCTTCTTTAATCCTTGCCTATTTTCCCTACTTACCTAGTTTACCTTATACTCCCATCTTATTTATGATTGTGGTGTGCTGAGTGCTAAACAATTTTAATCTTTCTCTGATTTCAGGTGTGCCGCTAAGGCGTTCCTTCTCCGAGGGTTGTATCCGACTGCGAGCAGTTCTTCGGTTGTACCTCGCCCAAGGAGGTGTTATCCCTGTGCAGTCCCTTCCATCCTCAACAACCATCACAGCTTTGGTGACTCTCCTGCCCATCCCCAGTCGCTCGAAGCTTCCCCAGCGCCTTTCCTTCGCACAGACGAGCCGTTGTTCGCCCCTCCTTCTCGCCCCAGCCACCTACAAATCCCGCCAATGCTCGTTTCTACTTAGGACAGCCGCACGAATCCTCCGTGCATGCCGTGCGACTACAGGTCAGTCGCGTCCAGCTAGTGACCGTTGTACCTCCGCAACGGCCCTCGCTAATCCGTCGACCCTCTATCAGCACTGCCCTACCCTTCCATCGGTCCTCTCTGCATCTTCCAACCGGTCACCACCCTTTGAGCACCTCGCCACTGCCCTACCCAGCTCTGGTGACTCTCTTGCCCGTCCCCAGTCGCTCGAAGCTTCCCCAGCGCCTTTCCTTCGCACAGACGAGCGGTTGTTCGGTCCTCCTTCTCGCCCCAACCACCTACAAATCCCGCCAGTGCTCGTTTCTACTCAGGACAGCCGCACGACTCCTCTGTGCAGGCCGTGCGACTACAGCTCAGTCGCGTCCCGCTAGTGACCGTTGTACCTCCGCAACAGCCCCCGCCAATCTGTCGACCCTCTATCGGCACTGCCCTACCCTTCCATCGGTCCTCTCTGCATCTTTCAACCGGTCACCACCCTTTGAGCACCTCTCCACAGCTCCTTCCACTCTTGGATCTACCGCACCTACTCGAGGGGGTTGTTTCTGCCTTTTATTATTTACTTTTGTTTATATTTCCGCAAGTTGCATTTATCATTATCTGTGTTGTGTTATTGTTGTAGCGTCGTCTTTGTACCCTTTTGAAATTATCAATAAAATATGTCATTTGCATCATGATTTGGGTTAACTCCAGTATCATTTGGTGTCAGAGCTAGCCCGACCCTAGTCCAAGCCTAGAATTTCACAATATCTGCCCCCACCCAAGCACCCAATTTTTTTTCCTTTTCCTTCCTTTTCTTGTCTTCTCATTTCTCTCATCTATTTCTGAATCACACCCAGTCATGTTGCCATGTCGATACGCGCCAGACCCAACCAAGAAAGAAATACAACGAGAGATTTTCCGTCTGCAACAACAACTGACTGAGATGGATGGCGTAACCCAAGGCAACATCACCCTCGACCGCAACCACGAGAGTCGAAGAGGAGACTGCGATGACGATCTAAATCCATTTCACCTTGAAGACTTCAACAACGATGAAAATCGATCACATCGCTTTGGCATTCACTATCAAAGGAGGCCAAGAGAGGAGCCCCCGTTTGGCGCCCACCAGGACTTCGACATCAAGATGAACCTACTGAAGTTTCACGGAAGCATAGATCTCGATGACTTCATTGACTAGTTGCAATCGGTCGAACGCATATTTGAATACAAGAGATACCTGAGGGCAAACAAGTTTAACTAGTTGCTATCAAATTGAAGAGAAACACTTCATTATGGTGAGAAAATCTACAGCAGCAGCGCAAACGAGACGAAAGCGGCAAGATAACTCTATGGGCAAAAATGAAGAAAGCTATGCAAAAGAAGTACCTGCCACCTCACTATCGCACCTGAGGATAAACAAGTTAAACTAGCCGCTATCAAATTGAAGGGAAACACTTCATTATGGTGGGAAAATCTACAACGGCAACACAAACGAGATGGAAGCGGCAAGTTCACTCTATCGCCAGGATATGTTTCTCAAACTCCACAACCTGCAACAGTGAGACCTTTCGGTCAAGGAGTTCACTGAGAAGTTTGACTGATTCCAGATGAAGTGGGAGTTAGTCGAGCTAGAGGAGCACATGATCGCTTGTTATCTGGGGGGCCTAAAACCCGCCATTAGCAACGTAGTTCAACTACAACCCTACTGGACGGTGGGCGATGTCCAGACCAAGCATTAAAGGTGGAAAGGAAGCAAAAGCAGACCATGTCATAGTTTTCCTTCCGACAACAATCAACATTCAATCCATCACCTAAAGCCACGTCTGCCGACAATACAACTTCCGAAGCTGACAAGTCAATACCAGGAAGCGAGAAAACCACCCCAAGTAGAACGAAACAGAAAAGTGTAATTCATCCAGAACAGTTCCTGCATGAAAGTGTTTTAGGTGCCACAGTTACTGCCACATTGCCGCCAACTGTCCCACAAGACGAGTTGTCTCGTTCGCTGAAGGTGTCGTTTAGGAAATAAAGAAAGTCGAGTAAGAGGATAGTGCAGAAGAAGCACTTCAACTTCCAGAGGATGAAAACAAAATGTTGGTCATACAGTGGGTCTTGCAATCAAAACCGGAAAGACCAATCATTGCTACGACACAACATCTTCACAGATCATGAAACGAGTTCACCCTCTTCACAGATCATTAAGCTTTAAAATTTTTAAAAAATCAGAGCAAACTAAAAGAGCGACATGCTACGCGGGTGGAATTCTTAGTTTTTATTCCAATTTGTTCTCAAGAACAAAATTGAGAGTTAGAACCGCGTCACGGACACACTAAGTTGTCATCACCTACTATTCGCATCCATGAAAACTCGTGTTGTAGGGTTTGAGATTATAAGACTTAACATGAGATAGACGAAGACTTTCACGAAATTGGGAACTGTGTCAGGAGAAACCTACAATGCAGTACTATCGAATGGATGGCTACTTGTTCTACGAAAAAAAATTATGCATTCCTCGATATTCGCTGAGAGAGGCCATCGTATAAGAGAACCACAATGACAGATTGACTGGCATTTTGGAATGGATAAGACTCGTACTAGTGAGAGAACACATCTTACGGCCCCAACTGACGAGAGATTTGGAGTGACACGTTCGACAATATAGGATTTGCCATATCACTAAAACTCGCAAGCAGACTACGAGATTATACACTCCTCTACTGGTACCTGAGGCGACATGTGTCCACGTAAGCATGGACTTTGCTGTAAGACTCCCACACACACAAAGAAACAAGAACACCGTGATGGTAAAAGTAAACCAATTCTCAATGACGCATTTCATGGCCTTCCACCAGACGCTGAACACATCTCATATTGTCAACTTGTACTTCTGCACGATTGTGAGACTTCACGACATTCCTCGTGCCATCACATCCGACCAAGACGTCAAATTTTTGAGCCACTTCTGGAGGACCATCTGGGGTAAATTAGGCACTGAATTTAAATTCAGTTCTGCGGCACACCCCCAAATAGATGGCCAGACCAAAGGAGTTAATAGGAGTATTGGAAATCTTCTACGATGCTTCGTGGGAAAAAGCATCAAACAATGGGATCTCATTCTTTCGCAAGCTAAATTCGGTTACAACAGATCCAGTAGTCAGACTACGAGACACTTCGTTTGAAATTGTACACGGGCGCAACCCGCTTATATCCCTTGAGTTGGTCTCGCTTTTACCCACATCAGAGATCAGTGAGGATGTCATCGAACGTTATCACCAGATTCAATAACTCCATGAGGAATTTGGGAAGGCGATTACGAAACAAAACCACAAATATCAAATCCAAGCAAACAAGTCCAGAAAAAGGTAGCATTTCAAGCTCGTGTGGATACGACTAAAGGAGCGATTTCCAACAAGAGCGTATAACAAACTCAAGCCAAGAGCCGACGAACCTTTCCACATACTTAAAAAGCTAAATGACAATGCTTACAAAATTGGCCTACCAAGCGACTTTAAAATTTCGGCAACATTCAATGTCGCAAATTTAACTCCGTACAATGAGAAGTCAGAAGCTTCAACGAATGAGGTCGAAGCTCCCCCGACCTCGGGAGACTGACGCGGAGCTCAGGGATTCTGGTCGGCGCAAGCATGATCGATCCAGCCTTCTTGCTGGACCAGACCGACCAAAAACAATTAGGGCAAAAGTTTAGTCCCCTCTCCATTTCATGCTCTAATTTTCTCCTTCCTAATTCTTCCATTCCTACTTGGGCTGCATTTCAAATTCCAACCTTTTCCTGTCCACTCTTCTTTAATCCATGCCTATTTTTCCTACTTATCTAGTCTACCTTCTACTCCCATCTTATTTATAATTGTGGTGTGCTAATTACTAGATAGTTTTGATCCTTCATTGATTTCAGGTGTGCCGCCAAGGCGTTTCCTATCTGAGGGTTGTATCTGATGGCAAGCGTTGCTTTGGTTGTACCTCGCCCAAGGTGGTGTTATCCCCGTACAATCCCTTCCATCCTCAGTAGCCATCCCAACCCCTCGTGGTGACCCCCTAGGTGAACCAATCTCGCCAACTCTTCTCAGACGCTCGTAGCCCTTGCTGGCATCCCACTCCCGCACAGACAGGTCGTTGATCACCCTCCCTATTCGCCCCAATCACTCGTATCTCCTGCTAGCATCCTTCCTTTGCACAGATGAGTCGCTTTTTGACTCTCCTGCTCTCCCCCAATCACTCGCAGCTTCCGACAACGCCTTTCCTCGACATCGACGAGCCGATATCCACCCCTCTTGCTCGCCCCAACCACCTACAGATCCCGCTAGCGCTTGTTTCTACTCAGGACAGTCGTGCGACTCCTCCCCTTTGTGGGTCGTGCGACTGCAGGTCAGTTGCGTCCCACCAGCGACAACAGTACCTCGGCATCGGCCCCCTCCAGTCAGCAAATCCTTTGAAGGAGTTTCCCTCCCCATTCGTTGGTCGTCTCTACATCCCCCAACAAGCCACCACCCTTTGAGCGCATCTCGGAACCCCTTCCACTCTGGATCTACCGCGCTTGCTCGAGAGAAATATTTTTTCTTTTATTATTTACTTTTATTTTAATTTTTGCAAGTTGCATTTATCATTATCCGTGTCGTGCTATTGTTGCATCATTGTCCTTGTAATCCTTTTGAAATCAGCAATAAAATGTGTATCGTTTGCGTCGTGGTTTAGGTTAACTCCGACATCACAATGCCATAAATTGAGTGATCACTTAGGATAGAAATGAGTACTTGAAATATTTCATTTCAGCATGCAACAAAATTGAGAGAATAATCATTGTTTTTTTTTAAACTCCCTATAACACAAAACAATTGATCATTGAAAATTAAAGAATTCCCTAAATATTTGTTCATATTGTGATATTCTCAATGTTTATGTGATAAACAATGTTTATGTGATAAACAATGTTTCTGAGTGCTAGAAGAAAGTGAAAAAAAAAAGTACAAGGCAAAATGCATAAGAAATAACTGAATAGTTGCATGAAAGAAGCCTACCACAGATATGCAAGCCACTGGAATTGTTGTGTTACCCTCGAAGACTTCAACTATCATGTCTAAGAAAATGGTCGCAACGAAACCTTTTTGTGTAATATCCACCACTGGAGCGGACGATAATGAAATATTCAGCTGCATTTCATCATTTGGGTACTTTCTGTACAATTGAGGAATAATAAATTTCCAGCTGGCAGTATTTAGAAGAGATTGATCAGGAACTTTGTCAACAATCCAATGAAACAATCCTTCCTGAAACAACGCAAATATAAAATTAATGCATGCTACTAGAGATAGAAAATGGTAAAAGAACAAGCGAGCTAATTCTTCTAGGTACTTGTGCTACTTTTTTTTTAATTTGGAGAAAAGTGCTAAAATGGTTCGCTGACTTTTTGCATAGGGTCATTTTAGTGCCAGAGTTTATAAAATTGTCAATTTAATCCTCAGAATTTTTTAATATAGACTGAAATAATCCACAATTAAAGACTATTTTACCCCCAATTAAAGCAGTCTGAAGACTTAGTTTACACTTTTATAAACTCAGGGACTAAAATGACCCAATGTGGAAAGTCAGGGGACTACTTTGGCTCTTTAATCAGCAGACTTTTATGTCCTCAGGTTGTCGATCATTCAAAAAAATTAAGCTTGAAGAAGGCCCCGCAAGTGTAGGCATAATAGCTCATAAACAAGAACAAATGGAACTGAGCGACTAAAAAATCTGAACCGTAATAACTTAGGTAAGGATGATTACGACCATATAAGCACGATGATAATTAGTTCTTTTTTCATTAACAGATCTTCCAGATTAAGATGCTTTTAGGCATCACCATTTGATCATACGCCAAATACAAACATTGGGACATATGGATCCCAGCATATAATATTAAGCTGTTTTAAGTCCTTGTATTTCAATTTACAGGATATAACCAACAATAGAAATCACATTATCTCATCTACAATGGCATTATTAAAACAATAATAATAATAATAACTATAAAGGAAATTCATCTAAGGTTTAAGAGTTTATTTTCATTTTTTTTAATCCATTTTTTTTTTAATAAGATATTTATTTTCAAACCTCTACAGTTTCCTCGTTCAATCTAGTTATTTTCTAACACCTTGTTACTGGAAAGATCCCGAAAACTAGTACAAGGCATCTATTGAAATACCTCAATTTGATTATTATTTGACAACAAACGTCATCGGGTTATTATCAGACATGCAATAATAATCAATGTAGGAAATTTATAACGAGATGCTGTTAGGCAATAAATACGTCAAAGGACATGCCACAAGAGTAAGGGAGGAGGGTTAAAACGCTTTGCAAATGGCAAAATCCTATTATATGCAAGACAGAAGTAAGAGTATACTTGTATCACAAATAATTCTAAATAAAACTAAAATTTTAATATGGAACCATCCTAAAATTATTACAAATTAGACAAAATACTATAAAATAAATAAAAGCCAACTCAAAAACTTAAGGAGAATTCCCCCTAAAATATAATTATCATAAAAGAGGTAATATTTTGGCTAAATAACCATCACAAGGCAAGTTGTTACCTCAAATAACACCATGGACGCAGAATCAAAGACTGCTTCATTGATTGAGATCCCTACCATCTTTAATGTACTGCCACAGTAAACAGAATAAACTGGAGATTGCTTATGCAGATAGCTCGCTACCAACTCTCTACTTGATTGAACAAACAAGCCATTAATATAGAACTCAATAGAAGAATTTCGAACCACAGGGTCTTCAACAAACGTTACATTTAATGGTGCAATATTAGCCATATTAATTTGCTTTGGTAGAGACTGCAACAATGAGTCAAGCTTTCCTGTCCCCGCAGTAATTTTTTTTGTAATAGCATTTTCCACAGCTGACCTAATTTGATCCTCAAAAGCATCTGCAAACCTAGTAAAATGCAAAAGTGGAACATGAATAAGTTTTATCCTATTAAAAATGCGGGTGAATGATGGATGAAAAAAAAACAACATGAAGTAAGAGATAAAGCCCTAAATGATTTAATATTTATTTTACACCACCTTCATCATCATCATTGTCATTAGCCCTGTGTCAGTTATTTGGGTTCAGCGATCTTTTTTACATGATTAATGTAATCATGGAGAGTTTGTTGTGAGGAATGAGGATACAACCAAACCAATCAAAAGAAAAAGCTGAAAACAAGAAAAAAATTTACTTAGACAACCCCAAGAACTTTGCACTCTCAAAGCATTACAAGAAAGCAAAATGAGAGAGAGAGAGAGAGAGTGGTACAGCCTTTAACTTTGAAAAACCTAAGCCATATGAAATATTTACCCTGAGTAAGAGCTGTAAAATAGAAATACAGGCAGCACTCCTTTTTTCTTAGTTTCTCTCCCTCTAGGATTTCACCCTTTTGCTCGTACTTAAAAAAAGGTGATTCAGAGGCGATAGATTCTCCGTCATTGATTTCTAGTTCTTGGAGCATATTTTGATATTCTTAAAGGAAGCTAGTACACGGGGTAAAAGGCTAGCCTTCCGTCATTTTCTGGCTCTTGATGCCCCATTTAAATTTAAAAAAAAACAAAAGGCCAAATTTTATTACTAATGCTGGATTTACTAGATTAAAATCTCTTTTTCTTAAAAGCAAATATAAATCTCTGAAGACTTTAGAAGTCTAAAATTCATGTAAACCGATAGAGAAAATCAAAATATTATAAAAAATAAAAATAAGAATAAACAAATCTACTTAAAAATCATGAAAATTATCCAGAGCTCTAACACGCCAAACTTCTTGAAACTATCAAATGAGTCCTCCTAATTGGTGCAACGGTGCCTATTCATGAACTCCCCAGCTTGGTGGATCCTCATTGAATCAACTGTGATTTAGCTTATCAGACCAAATTTGGTCTTGTTCACACAAAAATTTAAGGTCATTTCTTCAATTTGCTCTCCTCTTCTAAGTTAATAGCTTTCGCGGTAGCTTCATCGATGTTACCCACCAAATAAAAGACCTGCTTGGGAAGACCATCTAATTCTCCGGAAAGGATGAATTGAAACCCCCGAATTGTTTCTGCTAGACCAACATATTTCCCTGGAAAACCAGTAAAGACTTCTGCCACAAAGAAGGGTTGTGATAAGAAACGCTCAATTTTGCGTGCTCTTGCTACAGTTAAACGAATACTTAGATCAAGAAGTGGTATGATCAAATAGAGTTATATAGAAGTAAAAGCTTTCGTTCACATTCGTTCCTTTAATATTTTAGAGATACCCTCAAGATTATTTGCACTTAATTCCAATTTCCGAAGAAAATTCAAGAGACGCTTAAATGCAAGTTAGGTTGGCTCTAAGATTATGATATTTACTAAGGGGCAATGGTGGATCACTTTTGTTTTTTAATTTTTATTTTTTGTTTGTTTAGATTTTGATTTTAACTAAAACATGTTTGATTAAGATAATTATTTTTAAAAATACTCAAAATATTTTTCGGTATTTTGAGTATTTTTTTAAAATAAGTTGTTTTTAAAAACAATTTGATTTGTTTTTATAAGCAAATTATAAAAGTGATAATTACATACAGAGCACTCAAAACACAGCTATTTACAAATAAAGCACCCAAATGATTTTTTGAACTACTAAATTGATGGATTTACGAGTGTCAGGGTCAAACTAATGAGAATTTGATAAACATGAAAATTATGGATTGGGGTTTTATCAAGAATTTTGATATTTGAGAGAGAATTTGAAAACTGGATGAGAGTTAGCTTGATTTGTAAATAGCAATGTTTTGAGTGTTCTATATGTAATTTCTCCAAAATTAAAACTTATAAAAATTATACCAGCCAAGCATGCTTTTAAAAACAAAAGAAAGAAAGGAAAGTGATGTTAAACATGTCATCAGTTATTGCTAATGAATAAATAATTGTTCAAATGATTTTATTTCAAATTCTACAGAGTCAAACTTTCAAGAAATATAACAAAGATTTTGCCCTCTACTATGGGGCTATTTGGTTTGAAATAAAATGAATTTATTGTATTCTGTTTGCATATATTTTATTTTCTTTATGTCTAGTAGGAAGCAAATTAAATATAATATAATTTTTCCAGGCATTAGAAACATAGCTTAAGAGTGACTTCCTATGTGTTTGAATTTAACAATTTGAGGAAGCTCCAAAACAACTACCACCCCTCACCTCCGGACACTGTCGGACGTTATTTTGGAAAATGGATGATTTTTTTTGTAAATATGAAAATAATTTTAATATAAATATGATTTTTGAAAGTAACATTGTAATTTAAAAATAGATGACATCAAACGAGTCTCACATATTGAATAGTTTGGATGACCGAGCGCGATACCACAAGTAACAACGATACCACAAGTAATACACTATCCCGAAGAATAAGCATACCACTTGACAATAGGCTCAACCACATAAACTAAAGAGTTTGTGACATCAGTTTGATTTGCAAAAACTTTTATGTATGGTTGGCAAGTTCCCCTACCTAATATAAGGATTAGATAAGGTTTCTTTTACCTAGATTCCAAGTTCCCTATAGAGATAAGCCCCTATAATTAATTACATATTAAATGACGGGGGTCACTTAAGAAGACTCGATTAAGATCAGTGGATTTGCCTTCAAGATTTCAAAGTTTATGTTTCCAAGATTGGACACTGGAAAATCGAATGAGAGTGGCTCAAATAGGAACAGTTATTTTAAGGAATCCAAAGGAATGAAGAGTAGGGGATATCACAGATTCAGGGGAAACTCTGGTGGCTTCCCAACTATCCTAGGGGATAATTTTAAAGGTACATGCAATTGTTGAGTCAACGATCTGCTGCCGAGTACCTCCTATAAAATCAACTACTAACCTCTTACTCTAAGGTATAGTGTGTAAAAGAAACAGTAGCAGATATAGCAAAGAAAAGCAATGACAGTACAATATGTATAGGAGTAGTAAAGCATGCAGTATAGGAAAATAGTAGAATATTCAATAGAAAAGAACAGTATAGTGTGCTGTAAAGTAAAATGTTGTAATGTAAATCAAACATGTATACCTGGGAGGCCTGTTGTTCCTTTAAATATGGTTGATGTAGCGGGTAGAAGTATAGTGACAAAATTTAAGAAATGAGCTAGCATGCAGTGTATCGACAAAAGAAATATCACCTGGAAAACTCAAGAAAGTGGCAAATGACCCACGACAAAAAAAACTCGAGAAAATCGACAAATGACTCACGATGGAAATCTCGAAGCAAAAAAAACAGCAAATTGCATCTCAAAGAAAGTCACCCAAAACACGGGAAGATCCCGGAAAAAGACCATGAGTCCGGAAAAAGACCATAGTGCTTTACCAAAAGTTCCAATAAAATCACTCGAAAAATCCGAAGAGAGAAAACCGCAAGCACTCAGGTCGGGGCTAAACTCAGATACTATATATTTATACTTGAGGGACGTCGAAGGCTACTATCGGTCACTCGGATGTATTCCTACTAAACCTAACTTAGAAGGGTGTTCCTTAGCCCTGTACCGGTAATCGATAAGTGGACAACAAAGTTAAAATACATTTAAAATTTATATTTTAGTATGCACATGGATGTCAGACATATAAAAGAAAGTAGTATCAATTTTGTATTAAAAATATTTTTATAAATATTGTATCTGTCATTATCGTGTCGGTTCTTATCAGTTTTGAAAATTATGATTGTCCACGAGTCAATCACACCGTCAGGCGTAGGACTGCCAACAACCTAAGAATGTGCAATAATGTGCGGGTCCTTCGCTAGTCTTGTGTCGGTGAATGATACTATCATCCTACGGTTCACCAGGTCGTCGGATTGGGTCCTGATGTCGTAAAAAAGGGAATATAATTCTGCTCTACCACCGGTGTGTTTTTGTCATCACCGCCCTAAGCTCCAAAATAAAACCGACCTACTTGCGACTTGCTTGATGGCTCATATATAGCAAAATACTATATATGCGCACTTATGTATCGGACATAAGAACAAAAAGTCTAAACCAAAAAGCAAGAAAAATAAATCAAAAAATAATAAATGAAAAAGAAAGAAGACTAACCCGCCTCCAAAACAAATTTAGAAAAGAAAAGCCAAAGCGGCGGGAGGGTTAACTTAAAACATCCGACTAGCTGGACTTTCTCGAATGAGTAAAAGAGGTGAAATACACTCCCCATGATAGCCATGGAACATATCCAAAAGATACAACTTAGAAAATTCTCAGTCATTCCCAAATATCAAAAAATTCTCATCTTTTTTATATCTTCTCTTCTTCCTCTTTTTTTATTATTGCAACTGATCTAGCCCGTACTGATCTAGCCCGTAGAATTGGGCCCCAAAACATTTCCAAACATCTAACAGATCATTCTTCAGAAAAGAGCATTTGAATTCTTTCAAACATGAGAATTGAAATATTCCACCTCACAAATATCGAAGCAATCAATTCCAATTGAAACCAAAAGTTCCATAGGACAAACTCAACACAACATAGAGGAACCCACACAAATCCTCTCGGGTAGGAGCAGCAGAAGGAGCCACCAACCAACACTCTACACAAAGGAGCCACAGGCATACGACCAAGAACAGCAAATGGGAAGCCACCAGCCCACATTCAACACAAAGAAGCCACAGGAGAGGGCTCACGGCCAGGGACAGCAAAGGGGAAAACTTCAAAAAAAAGGAGCCATAGGAGAGGGCTCACGGCCAGGGACAGCAAAGAGGACAATTCGAGCCCAAGCCATACACAAAGAATTCCTAGGAAGGGAATCACGACCAGGAGGGCTCACGGCTAGGAAGGCCACCAACCATTTAAGATATAAATCCTCAACACAACAAGAAAGCTCACAACAAGAAGGCTCACGGCCAGGAATATCCAGAGAAGCCACCAACTCCAATCCAGACAGGGGTAGCAGCCATGAA